CGATTCTAATTCCCTTTGGCATAACATCAGGCGTAGGTGACAAGAGTAGCTTTGGAATTTATAGCAATTTGTTTAAAAATGGTAATTTTATTAAATATATAACAATGATTTAAAAACTAATATTTAAACATTAAAACTTAAAAAAAATAAAGTTATTTTTTGAATAATAAATAGCAAATAATAAATTAATTTAGTTCAAAAAAGGATATGCAATTTTTTTACTCTTTCGCTAGCCGAAATTTATTCTTGTCCGCTCATTATGGGTTGCATTGTCAGCTCTCTGGCTTGTTGTTTCTGCTCGTCTGCAGCCTCTTTGTGTTGCCATTGCTTGCCATCATGCAAAAGTTCGACTTCGAGCCGATTGATGTATGGACTTATTCTTCTAATATCAGCCTTGTTGTCCGCTCTTACATTGATTCCTGAGTTTGGAAAATTTTTGACCAAAATACCAGCACTATGCACCTCCTCTTTTCAAGGGCAAGTTGATTGCAGCCTAATTACGGGATTTGGAGCCGTGTACCGTATATGCTTCGGAACTTCGATGTTTTTCATTTTGTTATGCCTTTTAATGATCCGTGTGAGATCTTCCAAGGACCCACGTTCTCGAATTCATAACGGATTTTGGTTCTTCAAATTTTTAATTTGGATTGCTTTAATCGTTGCTGCCTTCTTTATTCCAGCTAATGGCTTTACCTTTGCTTGGATGATTATTGGGACAATTGGTGGGGCTATATATATCGTTGTTCAACTTATACTTCTCACTGACTTTGTCCACTCCTGGAACAGCAATTGGGTTGATAAATATGAGGAAACTGAGAAAAAGGCATACGCATGTGCCATCATTTTCTTCACGCTTCTTTTTTATGTGGCCTCTATCGCTGGTGTCGTGTGCTTCTACATATTCTACGCTTCTGCGCCGGAGTGTGTACTCCACAAGGTGCTGATAAGCGTCAACTTAATCCTTTGCTTCATCTTTAGTGTTGTTTCCATCCTTCCCATAATTCACCGCCACCTCCCAAAGTCTGGGCTTCTACAAGTACGTCATTTCGTTCTTACTTATTAACATGCATTCAATAAACCAGTGTTTCTGTTTCTATTTGTTCTAACTTTTTAGTCTTATGTTAATAGTACTATAAATGGCTGTTATCGCTTTTCTAATTTACATCTATTTCTATCTATGATTCGAGTTGTGCGTTTGTCTTTGATTTATTTTATTTTGTATGAATCACGGATACATTTTTGTACTTGTTCTTCTAGTCATCTTCGATAACTCTCTACATAATGTATCTGTCTTGGTCTGCCATGACTAACAATCCGGACAGGGCTTGCAATCCTGCCATTCAATTCGTGTCCAATGCTTCCTCAACTGACGATGGTCAATCAACATCTGCAGGTTCCATCGATTTAATATTCAACTGGCAAATATTTATTGGGCTCCTCATTTTGATATTCTCAGTCATCTATTCTACCATCCGCTCCAGCTCGCA